CAGATGTATAAAATATGAAATATCTGTAAAGCAGAACAAAATAGCTTTTGTTTACTGTTCGTAAACTTGAGTTTTTTTCCCATTTAAGCAGGTAAATCATACAGATACACACACTTTAGTTCCTTCTGAAATAAAATATAAATAAATCTGTAACCCCTTTTCCAATAAACAAATAAGTAAACAAACAAGAACTAGAAACAAGAACAAATTAAGCTATCAGAAATAGCAGTGAAAAGAAAGAAGAAAAAAGTAGATGAAAGTAAAGATGAAACCAGATGGTATCCCAAAAACATTAGCAAAAACAATAGTAAAAAATACTAACTCTTATTGCTTTCAGAACTTTCAAGACCTTTTGTTGGTATGAACATGTATATGTTTATTATCGGCTTAACATCGTTGTTTCTAAAGCAAATTACCTTTTTACCCACTCCTCTTTGCCTTTCAGTTTATATCATCCTGCAGCCTGTTTAAACTTACATTCATCGTTTCTTTTCTTGCTTCTTCATACTCCTTGTCCGCCATCTCTTTCCCAGTTCTAGTGAAACTGAATTTCAGTAAACAGTTATACAATAAATTGTTTTCAAATTATTATTTCTGTTCAATGAATGATACGTATCAACTACATCAAAAACACAACATTAACATCCCTTTCACTGATCAAAACTGGGAAAGCAGAGAGTATGAGATGCAAGAAAAAAAGCCAAAGAAAAAACACAAAAAAAGCAGCTTAATTTCGTCCGTAACAGGATAATATAATGGAACTTGTTTTATGCTCGAGTTCTTGCTGTCGATGGTGGTGATGGTGCTAGTAAAGAGCTGTTGAAACAGAGCTTTTTGTTGAATAGATGTAATTTGTAGACAGGTGTAACTACAGTATCGTCGACACGGTGAAAGCCACACGTTGAATGGGTTTGTGTGTGTGTCTAAGTGTGTGTTTGTTTGTGTGTATGTGTGCAGCAATTGAGTGCGAAATACATCGGAATGGAGGGAGGCGCACCTGGCAGCCACACGTGTCCATTTGTTTAAAATCATTCAAAATACATAAGCGATCTGTGAAACATTTTTTTCAAAATGTTTTGGCAAAAATTTTTTCCTCCCCCTCCCCTCTCCTCCCCTTCCTCCCCCTCCCTGCTCACTCTTCTTTCCTCAAACTCTTCTCTCCCAACTTTTCCATCTTCATCTTTATCTTTCTGTGCCAAAAAAAGAAGAATAAAGAGACGAAAGATAGAAGGCAGGAAGAGGACAACGAAACAAATTTCAGAACAATATACAGGAAGCGCAGATGGATGAAAGAATAGACGGGTAAATAGATAGATAGATAGATAGATAGATAGATAGATAGATAAATAAATAAATAAATAAATAAATAGACAAATAGACAACTAAATAGTGAAAAAGAAGAAATAGATGAAGAGGAGAAAAAGAAGAAGCCAAAGGCTGCGATCACAAAGGATTTACATTAAGACCCGAAGTATTAACCTAAAGGAGTTATTTAAGCTGGATTCCATCAAGCAAAATACCTTTATGTCAAGCTTTTTCTCCCCCTTTTTCCTTCTATTGCCCTCCTCACCTCCTTTTTTTCACTCGATTCCTCTAATATATCAAAACGGCAAATAACCAACAACAGCAACGGTGGTAGCAAAATCAAAAAACAACAAAAACCACAAACTTCCACCAATATCCTTTCGTTCTTTTTTTCCAATATTACAAAAAAGTTACCTTAACGATTAATATCTACTGTTTTCCTAGGGTTTCAATTTTTTCATATTTTCACAAAGACATCAAAAAAATTTTCTGACACCAAAGAAGAAAAAAGGACAACAGCAGCAACATTTATTTATTATAGTTGTTGAAAATTTGTTGAAACAACTCAAAAACAAATGAAAAAATCGGTTTTGTTTCAATTTTTGCTCCTTCTACTTCCATCTCCGTTTTCTTTGATCAGTGTAAATGCACTGCAGTTTCAGTTAGCCGTCCAATTTCGGCCATATATCATTACAGTAAAATAGACAAAAAAAATTGCAGCAAAATTATACAACAGTAACGAGAAGAAAAAATGCTGACTTTTCAAGGGCTTTTTTTATTTTTTTTCCTCTTTAATTACAGAACAAATAAACAGCAAGAAAAAAGAAGAACAGTTAAATTAATGAAAATAAAGTTTCCTTCTCGAAGAGAACCAGTATAACCAGCAGTAAAAAAAAAAAAAGTACAGCAAAGAAAATGATAAAAGAAATTTTCTACATTTTTCACACCTTACCTTTAAATTTTTTTTTTTCTCATTTTTCTCCTTATTTTTTTCCTTCTTTTTTTTAATAAAAGAACTGTTTGAAGTGCAGAAAAAGTGATAAAAGAGTTTATAAACGGAAAAGAAACGAAAGGAAATATCTATAGTTAGTGCTGCACTTTATATTACCCTGTCTTTTTTTTCGTTCACTTCTTCTTCTCAGTCTTCCTAAACTACCGAATGAAAAAATAATAACATAAAATACGTACGACAAGAAGGAGAACGGCGTAAATGAGGAAGAATCAAAATAAAAATGAGCAGATAAAAAAATGTAACAAAAAACTGATAAATAAACTGTTAGTTGTGTGTATACATAAATTAATGTTTTCCCTAATAATTCATAAAACAACAGAGCTTCCCCTCCGTTACCGCTTCTCATCATTTCCACCATTTCCGCAAGATTTATATCATCAACTAACACTAATCTGATCTACCTCTATTTGACCACTGAATTTTTTTTGTTTCGAAACAAAAAAAATTTTTTCCTTGCAATCTTTAAATAGCAAAAAGATTAATTTTATTGCGCCAAAAAAAAAAATTCAGTGTCAATATAGAATCAAAAGGAGGAAAAAAAATTTCCAACAAAAGATAATGAATCATTTAACATTTTTAAGAGAAAAAAAAAAGCAGAGAAAAAATGATAGTAATAATAACACAGAAAAAACCGAATAAACCAATTGACATTATTTTTAGTCAAAAATAAAATCATCTGTCTGTATTTATAGAATTCATACACATTAATATAAGTGGCAGAGGTGAAATAAAACGAAAAGAAAAAAAAAGAATATGAAAAAATGACAACGGTGACGATTGTTGACGATAATAATTTGCAGCTAGTCAGTTGTTAGTTGGTCTATTCCGTTGAAGAAGACGATGATGATGGTACCGCTGTTACAGCTGCTGTTCCTGCTGCTACTGCTGTCGCCGATGCTGTTGATGATGACGATGAGAACGAGAATGATGACGATGATGATGATGATTATGTTGCTGCTGACGATGATGCAAACTTGACTTGCTAGACCGCCTTGACTGGACTTAGCGAGATTACTAACTTATCCATGATGATTGTGACATTCAGTGATAATCAAATAAATCAAAATTATGTAAACACATATCGCAGTCCGAAATGAAACACCTAAACAACCAACTTTATCGCCGTTAATTTAAGTACCATTTTCGGTTGCCGATTATCCCCTCCCTCAATTTTCACAAATTTTTTTTTCATCTCTTTCATCTCTTTCGTTTCCTTTCATCCACTCTCCTTCAACTCCCTTTGCTTGCCTCCTTTCAATTTGTCCGTCTCTTTGTCTCCTCTTCAACAATCCTTTTTCTTCTCCTCTTTCTCATCCATAGCTGTTTCCCTTCGTCCCTTTGTCCCTCTCTCTCTCCCCCTGTCCCTGTGTTTCCGTTCCCCTGTCAATGCCTATTGTTGTTGTCGCTGCTGATTTTCCCATCTCCTTTTATTGGCAAATCTGTAAGAAAAAAAGAAAGCCTCCTCCTCCTCTTATTCCCCCCGAAAAAAAAAAGAAAAAAAAATTGATGAAAAAAAAATAAATTTGAAAAATAAATCAAAAAGTTGAAGTTAAAACAATAAATTCCAAAAAAAAACTCTTTTATGTGTTGCTTTAAAAAATTTTCAGTTAAATATACATTCGTTTTTCCATATACACTATACAAGTCACATATTTTTCCTCTCTGTTATTTCCCTTTATTTTTTCTCCGTTCTTCCCCCACCTTTCCCCCATTCCTCCTGCAATCTTCCTCTGTTTTCCTTTCCCCTTACAGTTACTTTTTTTTCAGCACACGTAATAATCATCGCTCCAATGCAACAAAATGTTACTGCGGAAAAAAAAATGGAAGATGAAAAACGAATTTTTTTCTGATATTTAAATCTGCCTAGTTGGTTTTTTTTTGTTGTGCGTATGTGTTATGTGTGTGTCTGTGTTTGTGTATTTGTTTTTATTGTTTTGTTGCTGTTCAATTTACATAATAATGCAAGAAAAAAAATGAAATAAAAAAAAGGGGAAAAACGACATCAAAAAAGAAATGAAATGAAGAAAAAAATTTTTTCTGTTTCTTTTTTTCATCACAGTTTGCTTGTTTCACTAATACCGTTCATTTGCAATCAAAATGTAGAGGAAAAAAAAGAAATCTAAGGTTGTCCAAATGAAAACAAGGCAAGTTTTTTTTTACTTCTTCTTCCAAGCACCAACTCAACTAGCCACATACATTACTGCACAAACACAAACTCACAAGCACACACACATAAACATTCTCTCCTGTTGGCCCACCTCCACACCCTATCGGTGGCTCTCACAAGAAAATTAAGACAAAATAGGATAGCAAAAGTAAGATGCTGGAAAAACAACATCAGCGACAACG